AGACAAACAGAGAAGAAGAGAATAAAGACCGGCAGAGGTCAAAGTGACCAGAGAGGATATCGGAGGACGTGCCGCTGCTGAGTGGATTAGCTGAGTGAATTTTAGCCCTGACTCACACCTAATGTTATAATCCACCATTGTTGGCTGTATGTGTGTGTGTTCTAGCTAAGACGGAATTTTAAAAGCTAAATATCCAAATGTGCCTGATTTTTTTCCGGGGACTATGGGTAAAAGTCAAAAGTGCAATCATTTTCTCTATCCTGTCTGTCTTCACCTGTAGGTCAGCAGACCACAAAAACTATGACATAACTTGTGCAGCAACTTGCCAGATGCTGCTGCTGCTGCTCAGTCAGTCGGTCGGTCGGTCGGTCTGGCATGTGCATTTCCTCCACGCGTTGTTTTTCCCTTGTGTTTCCTTCCCTAAGTGATTTACCATTTCCCTGGAAATACTCCCTCTCCGCACATTCCCTAAACCCATCCTCTCCAAAAGTCCTGGCTGAGTAAGACGCCAAGTGTGCAAATTCTCCAGTGTCCATCCTGGATGTTTAGCTGCTGCTGCTGCTGCTTGTAATGTTTTATTGCGTTATGTAATAGTTTGAAGATGATTTAAACAGACCAGCCAGAGGTTCGCACCGGCGAGTTCAGATGCCCATATGAACGAGTGACTCTGTCACACACACACACACACACACTAGTGATACTGGAAAAAAAATCCGAAACCAAGATTGCCAAACACAGCAAAAAGTGGAAACTCGGGAAAACCCTGCCACATCAACAGAAAGTTCAACACTGTGACAAATACACAGGAGATACTGCAGCGCTACAGTACGGAAATACTGCAACAGGTACACTGATGCCCAGTGGTACCTGAAGGCATCACGGAGGGTACACCGACATTTTTATTTTATTTTTTTTAATTCAAGTTAATAAATAAATTATTTTATAGTGGATACATTTAAATTATTTCCCTTTCTTTTTGCTCGTTTTTTTTTAGTTTAACAGCACAACGTGTTTTATTACGTAACATAAAAACAATGTCGTAAAAGACGAAAGTGGAGCTGTTAAAAATGCACCTTCAGTGAGTCAACATTTTTATGAGATAACTTTAAAAAGCGCCTTTTTACATTAGTTTAGGTTTCGTTATTAAGGTGTTAATAATAACAACGGCATCATCTGATGCTAACCGGTACACGAGGGTGACAGAAAGTTATTTACAGCGGAGACCCCCGTGAAGACCTCCACCTCGGGGGAAACAGAGAAGAACTACAGACTTGTTATTCCACCAAATCTTCTGTTCCTCACCTCCATCCCTGATGCCTCATCAGATTCTCTCTGAATCTGCCACAGCGATGACTGAGAGCGTTACTCTTTTTTTCTGAGAGCGCGATGAGGTCGAACTCTCTCCAATAACTTATACTTTTGATTTTTGGATGTATTAGCATGAACCTAGCCATGGTAAGATATGAATTAGAGGAACTATTAAAAAGGGCAACACGTGAAAATTAGCAGCAACTTCAGCAACTTAGCACAACCCAGAGCCACAGGTGCCTATGAAAACAAAGTGTTGTGAACATTTAGTGAAGCTAAACAGGGTAAATATAGACTTAGAGGGCAAGACCAGGACAAGAAAGACACTCAATCAACAGGAGCCGTCCATGTTTAAAGGAGGGAACGCTTTAAAGACAAAGACACGGAAATAAAAAAACAAAACATAAAAGATTTTAACTACCATTAAAGGTAGTTGAAGAACAACAGCGACCAACTTTTATTTTAAATCATTTGTTAGACTAGACAATTCAGGCGACCCATTCCAATTCCAGGAGAACCCATATGGGGTCCTGCCCCCAAGTTTGAAAAACACTTGCATAAACACTGCAGCGCACCGTGTCGGCAAACAGCCCCTAAAAAAAAAAAGAGTTTTATGAGTGCGCAGAGAGTCTGATACAGATGTTGGAGCGCGCCGCACGGCCCCCGCTGTGAGCTTTATCTGTCCGTCACACACCACCGCCATCAGCACGACCTTATCTCCGACACCGGTGCGACATCGGTGCAATAAATTGTGGCTCGAAGCAGCTGCAGCCATTTTGTGTCTATATCACGCTGTGGCCAGGCTGTAGTTAAAGTGCCAGGGCACCCCTGTGGGCAGCAAAACGTCCAGAAGTGACTTTGTGAGCGGAGACCACCCTCTCAGAGAGTAAGCTGATATTTACAGGTATTTGTCTTTTGGCTGGACGTGCGTCAAAAAGTCTCTTCACGGTGCATAAATTTATGTATTGTACTTTTCTGTTTGGTACGGTTGGATGGAGGAGAGGGGGAGTGAGGGATTCGGGGCTGGGGGGCTGTATATATATGTGGAAATTTGAATCATGTGCTCAAAGTTGAAGATAAACATTGAAGACAGACAGGCGGCCAAGAAACAGGAAGCAAACAGAAAGAGAGCTCCTCATCGAGATTTCGCAACGTAAATGACAACCAGATAAATCCGAGACAGTCAACCTTCACCTAATCTCATCCCTTAGCCTGTGGCTATCCACTACTGCAGTATACTGCAGTGGGTGGTAAAAAATACTGCAGTGAAACAAACAAACAAACCAAAAAAAACCCCAAAAATAAATCAAATCCAAAAACCTCATATCCAACAGGATTTAAACCAGACGTGAGCTCTTTTCCTCTGCACTCTTGTTTTTATGTGTCATTGACAGGCTGGTGTCAAGTTGTCTCACTCCAGTTTGTTTTCCTCAATTAAAAGGAGCTCAAAGAATAAAAAAATTGCTGTTTAATTTCTTTTTTTTCTATATATACACAAAGAAAAATTATCTTATCTTTAAGGCATTAGCTGAGACTATTTCAGAAAAAAAATAGCTATAACTAGAGACAGGTCATGACCTCAGAGAATTAATTAACCAAAATAACAACCAGTCATTATGAGGATATAGCAGCGATACCTTTAATGCAGTGGTTTTTTTTTTGGGGGGAATTATATTTTAAAAGTCACAAACCTTTGCGACCCAAGTCAATAGACATTATTCGTAAACTCCTGGGCAACAAGATGCAAGACGACCCAAAAAAAAAGCTCTTGCGACCCAGTCTTTGGAAACAATGCACTGTGATTACTACAAAGCTCTGCATAATAATCTACAAAATGGCCATTGTTTATATCTTAGTCATTACACAGCTCTGGAGCACAAACACAAAACTCCAATGTCTTTTGGTTCTGTGAAGAAGAACACACCTGAGAGGTGGCCTTCACTAACGCTAACTGTTCCTCACAGTTTTACTGTTTTGTTTTTTTTTTCTCCCCTCTTTTTTTCACACCTCTCGCTCCTGCTGACTTTCACATGTGCAGGTCTGACGCTGCGCTCACTTCCCCGACATGTTTCTGTGCTGTCAACACGTTCTAAAGATAACATGTTCTCTGTACCTCTGCAACCAGTCTGCCGTGGTCCGAGAGAGAGAGAGAGAGGGGCGGCTAAATTTAAAGCCTTAGGCAAGCGGCGATGAATGTCGCTCTGGTAACACACCTACTTTACAGAACACTTCAGGCAGAGCTCACAATATCAATGCCACGGAGAGGATGTAATCTCCCTTTTTTTTTAAATAAATATCATGGATCACCTCACAAAACGACGGACTTTATTAAAACATCACAGAGCGTCCTAATCCCAGACGGACAAACCTTTAAGAAACCTGATCTTTCTTTTAGACTTGTCAGACCAGGACAGTTTCTGTAATCTGATTAGAGATGAAACTGTTCTGAGAAATTCACAACCCCACAAACCCACAGTGCATGTGAACAAGGAAGGGACTAATTAATAATTACTTCAACATGTGAGAAGGAACAGTGTCATCAAGCTTCAAGGGAACCAAAGCAACGAGGTTACAGTCGAATCAGAGACGGGTATTAACATTAAGATCATTCATTTGACCTTAATACAATCAAGTCCCGAGGAACGCAGAGGAGACCAGGTCGATGTGTGATTAACTGATTCTTCCCTCCCTGTATTTAACCACTAATCCATCTGTTGACCGACTCCTCACGAGGCACAGATGGATCCTTCTGCAAATAATCTGCATCCTTTATTATCACAGACCTCATTCAGTAAACACTGAATGATGCGAGGGTCAAGGCAGTGAAGGATTACAGCGTGTCAAACGACTGGATGACAGAACAGCTGATTTGATCGACTTAAGCTTGCAGTGAGAGGGGGGGGTTTAATAAAAGTCAGCAGATCTCCTGAGGGAATGAGTCTTCCTGACTGTGCACTACGGGATCGTTGACATGCAATGGCACATTAATTGCAATTGCTCCCTTTCGTCAGTAGAGGGCCTGGCCGGAACTTGTTGTTGGCAGAGCTAAAACCGAACAACCGACCGCATTACTTAATGAAATCTTATCATAAAATGTGTCACTCCGCTAACCTGCCCTTGTGGAACATGAACCAAATGGATATCTTTCGATGGTAGAAAACTGAATTAAAATAATAGAATTCGAATGAATTCTGGAATATAAACTGATTCCAAAAAAGGGTTATATCTTAACCTTTGATTTTGCTACCGTTTAATATCCGTGCAACTAAAGCTAAAGCTAAGTTCGCTATCGCACAGCGTGAATGTTCTGTTTATTTGTACACTTGTAGTTGTGCTATTTGTGGCCAATAGACGGCGATATTCTGCAGAAAATCAAATGTGAAAATAGCTTGTTTGGTCAACATTTAAAAATGCACAAAAGATGACATTTAAACCCGCAAATCTTCACTTGGAAGACTAACTCTCTTACCACTAGATCAAGGACCACAACATTAAGCCACTAATTCATTATCAAAATAATAAAATTTTTCCACATAACTGGATCCAAAAAAAATCTCAAAAATAACACGTCAAACAATGACACATATGCTAAGAAAAACCTGAGGAATTGTTGTTATATTCATGTACTTTTTTTCACCTTTTCTCTAACACACACTGCTCAGGGTGACCTTTCACCTCATCATGTTCTGCACCAATCACAGGCCACTGATTTTGGGATCCAGATTTAGCCCTGCTATCACTGATGTTGAGAATGTTGACAATGCAGACAAGTCAAGGAGGTAGATAAAAGTGATAAGGGCGAGCGAGAGACAGAGACGGACGGAGAGAGAGAGAGATGGAAATTTTTGCGAAGAATTTTACAAGGAAATCCTGGTCATTTCATTGGTCATTTCTATGCTCAATTGCTCGTCAAATATGCCTTCGACTCTGGGTCGACCAAAGACCGTGTGTCCAGAGAGATAAACATGTTCATTTACATATAGTCAAATTATCAAACACTCACCAATGCAGGAGTGAACACGAACAGTAAGCTGGGTCCGTAAAATAACACTGTGCTTCTTCCCTCTGGCCCTGAGAAAAAGAGTGAAGAGAAACGGATCAAACACAATATATATATATTTTTTTACAAACAAAATGTATCCAGATATTCATCCTAAACAAACTGCTAACATGTAAATAACAAAAAAAAAATCACACTATATTTGTTATTTAGAATTGAACTAGCAGGACGTTAGGGATGTTTACTACTATTTTACTAGATGCTGGTGCTGCTTGTGTGAGAAGATATCTGATTCTCCACAAAATACTTGACATGTTGACAGCGAAGTGGAGTGCTGCCACATACAGATATGGATCTGAGCCCAGAGGACAGACGGCAGAAGTGCACAGCAGACAAAACACACACACCTGCACGGACCCTCATGTAAAGAGCGCTTATTCATACACAGCACAATTCCAACCTATGATGGTATTTTGAAACTCTTATCCACCATCTATGGCTGAGATGCTGCAAAACAAGCATTGGTTAAAATCCCTTTGTGTTTCCAAAAGAGATGTCAAAGGTCATCAATATTTCAATCGAAAGCCAAGCTGACACTAGCATTCAGTTCCTTTATGTCTCTTGAAATGCCTGCACTACAGTGTGATATTTTCTTTCGTGTCCTTCGTATCATTTGACTCCTGACTGTGCTATCCTGTCACCAGAAACTTGTTTACTGTCAACTGCGGTGATTCCCGTTCCGGCCACAGCTGGAATTTCAACACATTTTTCACTGTGTGGGAACATAAATCCCGTCAGGATAAGGGTAAGTCTAATTTCGCAGCATTGTGCTGTGTAAACGATGCACCGATAATGCGATCACTTACTTGTTTGTTACTGATGCATATCATTACTCAGGAGGGAAGAGGCTAAATTAGCTGATAAAAAATGATGGGTTTAAAGCACGGATTGTGTCGGTTAATGATTGGGTCACTGATTTTTTTTTAATCAAATACTGTGAAGACAGGGACAGATTTACTGTTGTGAGTAGTAAATCTCCATCCCTGACTCACACAGAGAGTCCCAAAAAGCCAAAAAGAGATATCTAAAGCAATTCACTGCGGTGCCGCAACAACGTGCTAACGCCGTCTCCTCCAGCATCCACAACTGTGAGATCTAGATGCTGCGCGAACCGAGCGGAATAACAAGCATCACCGAAGTACAGTGCTGCTGCTGCAGAAGGGGAGGGCACATCTGTCTCACTTTCCACAGGGATTCATACTTTCCGTGAACTCGGGCTTCCAAGAAAACCATATCCAGCAGCCTGTGTTTTCTTCTTTTGTGAATGGGGGGCGGAGGGGGGACGGAAGAAAATGGACATGTGTGCTTATTTGACAGCAGAAGCTACAGTATGCACGTGTGTCATGTCTTACCCCATGTCGTCCTGCTGACAGACGTCAAGACAGCCCTTCATTTCTGCCAGGGCAGTCCCCG